GAGAGAGAGAGACAGGTACACCTGGTTCATAGAGGGAGAGAGAGAAAGAGAGAGAGAGAGAGACAGGTACACCTGGTTCATAGAGAAAGAGAGAGAGGTACACCTAGTTCATAGAGAGAGAGAGAGAGAGAGAGAGAGAGAGAGAGAGAGGTACACCTGGTTCATAGAGAGACAGGTGTTTGTGTGTCTGATCTTGACGATGATGATGCTTCCTGTGTTCTTCAGGTATGGTTCTGGTCCGGACTGAGACGGGTCAGCTGGTGATGGTCCCTCAGCAGGTTCTGGCTCAGGCTCAGGCTAAGACCCAGCAGAGCCAAGCGGTGGCCAACATCAGCCAGAGACCGACCGCTGGGACCGCCATCCGGGTCAGCACCGCCCCCACGGTAAGAACCCATCAGGGTCAAAGGTGTTCATCCAGTCTGCAGCATCACTAATAAACTGAACACCTGAGACACACACAAACACACCTGAGACAAAACAAAAACACACCTGAAACACAAACGCACCTGAAACTTACGAAAACACACACAAACACACCTGAAACACAGACAAGCACACAACGGAAACGCAACGGAAACACATCGACAAGCACACCTGAAACACATCGACAAGCACACCTGAAACACATCGACAAGCACACCTGAAACACAACGGAAACACACCTGAAACACATCGACAAGCACACCTAAGAACACACCTGAAGTGTTAAGCTCCAGATGTAAATGGTTCCCATGATGCTTTGCTGCAGCATAGCGTGTTCTCTTCCTCCCCGACGTCTGCAGGCTCCTCAGACCGTCCGCCTGGCCTCCCCCGCTCAGACCAGAATGGTTCAGCCTCCGTCCACCACGACAGTACAGGTGTGTCCTCTGTCCTCATGATGTGACCGTGTAATGACGTGATGGCGTCATCACGTGATGATGTAATGATGTGATCACAACAGGGGTCACCAACCTTTCTGAAACTGAGAGCTACTTGAAGGGTACTCGGTAGTACGAAGGGCTACTTGTTTGATGCAAACTTCCTGAATAACAAAGTTGCACAGATCACCTTTTAATAATAATAATAATATGTGTGAAGACATTGTCTAATTACATGTTAATTATTCCTCACAATAATTATTAACAATGATTTCCACAACATGATGGTAGAAACACAGATATATTTAAACATTTATTTCTGTTATTCTGTTTCAACATTTGAAAGTCAGAGGTATCACATCTCTGATGTTTTAGTAAATATCTTTCTTGACAGTTTTGTATGAATAAGCACATTTGTAGCATTTAGTTCAAAATCACACCTGTTATAATTTTATAAAAATGATCACTTCTAACATTTTTTATGAAATCATTAACTGTCATATCTTCACATCGTGTCTCGTTGGTAATAACCACTTTTGTAACATTTTTGAACAAATCATGATCAACAAATCAGCTCTGTCCCATGTTTATACAAATCATCAGTTATGAATATCCTGTGTTGTTTGGCTTTGGATCGGATGCCATTTATGATCTTCAGACAGGAGTCATCACATGATCAAAGCCGGTTACTTTTGCACATAGCGCCTGCTGGTGAATGATGCAGTGGTAATGTAGACATTTTGGGAAGTCTGGGTCACCTTTACATTGCGCAATGAAGCCTGCATGCCGGCCCGTCATGGCGACCAGGTGCCCGCGGGCACCGTGTTGACTACCTCTGGATCACATGATGATGTGATGATGTGATGATGTGATGATGTGATGATGTGATGATGTGACGTGTAATGATGTGACCATGTGATCACATAATGATGTGACCATGTGATCACATAATGATGTGATGATGTGACCATGTGATGATGTAATGATGTGACCATGTGATCATGTGATGATGTGATCACATCATGTGACGTGTAATGATGTGATCACGTACTGATGTGACCATGTGACGTGTGATGATGTAATAACGTGACCATGTGACGTGTCCAGAAGACCATCACGGTGTCCCCCGGCGGTGCAGCGGTGTCTGTGAAGATGCCCCCCCCTCAGAAGGCCCAGACGGTGATCACAGCGGGGGGGGCAGTGAAGCCCGTCGGAGTCGCCCCCCCCACGCCGGCTAACAGAGTCACCGTGGTGTCCCAGGTGTGTCCTCTGTCCTCTGTCCTCTGTCCTCTCAGGGGACACCTGTGTGACCTGCTCTTTGTTACCATGCCAACAGGAGATGCAGGAAAACGTGAAGAAGTGTAAAAACTTCTTGGCGACGCTCATCAAGCTGGCTTCACACAACTCACCGTCACCTGACACCTCGAAGAACGTCAAGGGGCTGGTGCAGGACCTGCTCGTAAGCTCTATTATATATAAATATTATCATATATCATTATGTTATACATCAATATTGTTTTATATTATTATAATATTATATTTAATATAGGACCTGCTGGTGAGCTCTGCATTGATTAGATATTTATTATTATATCTATTATAGTATGTTTAATATTAACTGGAGTTGTGTGTTTGTTCAGGATGCAAAGATTGAGCCTGAAGAGTTCACCAGTCGACTGCAGGCTGAGCTGAAGTCTTCTCCACAGCCCTACCTCATCCCCTTCTTAAAGGTACTACTACTGTTCTACTACTACTGTACTACCACAGCCCTACCTCATCCCCTTCTTAAAGGTACTACTACTGTTCTACTACTACTACTGTACTGCCACAGCCCTACCTCATCCCCTTCTTAAAGGTAGTACTACTACTGTTCTACTACTACTACTGTTCTACCACAGCCCTACCTCATCCCCTTCTTAAAGGTAGTACTACTACTGTTCTACTACTACTGTTCTACCACAGCCCTACTTAAAGGTACTACTACTACTGTTCTACTACTGTTCTACCACAGCCCTACCTCATCCCCTTCTTAAAGGTACTACTACTACTGTTCTACTAATACTGTTCTACCACAGCCCTACTTAAAGGTACTACTACTACTGTTCTACTACTACTGTACTACCACAGCCCTACCTCATCCCCTTCTTAAAGGTACTACTACGGTTCTACCACTACTACTGTTCTACCACAGCCCTACCTCATCCCCTTCTTAAAGGTACTACTACTGTTCTACCACAGCCCAACCTCATCCCCTTCTTAAAGGTAGTACTACTACTACTGTTCTACTGGTACGACTGTTCTACCACAGCCCAACCTCATCCCCTTCCTAAAGGTACTACTACTACTGTTCTACTACTACTGTTCTACCACAGCCCTACCTCATCCCCTTCTTAAAGGTACTACTACTACTGTTCTACTACTGTACTACTACTGCTGTTGTACCACAGCCCTACCTCATCCCCTTCTTAAAGGTAACACTACTATTGTTCTACTACTACTACTGTTCTACCACAGCCCTACCTCATCCCCTTCTTAAAGGTAGTACTACTACTGTTCTACTACTACTACTGTTCTACCACAGTCCAACCTCATCCCCTTCTTAAAGGTAGTACTACTACTACTGTTCTACTGCTACGACTGTTCTACCACAGCCCAACCTCATCCCCTTCTTAAAGGTAGTACTACTACTACTGTTCTACTACTACTGTTCTACCACAGCCCAACCTCATCCCCTTCTTAAAGGTAGTACTACTACTACTGTTCTACTACTACTGTTCTACCACAGCCCTACCTCATCCCCTTCTTAAAGGTACTACTACTACTGTTCTACTACTGTACTACTACTGCTGTTCTACCACAGCCCTACCTCATCCCCTTCTTAAAGGTACTACTACTACTGTTCTACTACTGTACTACCACAGCCCTACCTCATCCCCTTCTTAAAGGTACTACTACTGTTCTACTACTACTACTGTTCTACCACAGCCCTACCTCATCCCGTTCTTAAAGGTACTACTACTACTGTTATACTACTACTACTGTTCTACTACTACCACTGTTCTACCACAGCCCTACCTCACCCCCTTCTTAAAGGTACTACTACTACTGTTCTACTACTACTATTCTACCACAGCCCTACCTCATCTCCTTCTTAAAGTTACTACTACTGTTCTACCACAGCCCTACCTCATCCCCTTTTTAAAGGTAGTACTAATACTACTGTTCTACTACTACTACTGTACTACCACAGCCCTACCTCATCCCCATCTTAAAGGTACTACTACTACTACTGTACTACCACAGAAGTATATTTTGGTGTCAGGTCTTGTGTACTTGTACATATATGTATATATTTGTATTTCTCTGTACTTGGCTAGCATGTGTTGTTGATAATGTTGTTTATGATGTTTTTGTTCTTGTTGCTCCTCAGAAAAGCCTCCCCGCCCTGCGTCAGTCTCTACTCAGCAGCCAACAGTCTCTAGTGACTCCTGGTACCTCAGCCCCCCCCATCCAGGTGGCCCCCCCCTCCATCTCCACTGCCACCATCAGGCCGCGACTACCCATCAGCCCGGCCGGAGGCACCGTCAGACTGAACGCACCGCTCACCAACACTGTGGTAGGACCGCCGTACATGTTGTTCTCTTAGTGTCCACTAGAGGCATCACTACTGTATTATAGAGATAATACATGTTATTCTCTTAGTGTCCACTAGAGGCATCACTGCTGTATTATAGAGATAATACATGTTATTCTCCTGGTGTCCACTAGAGGCATCACTACTGTATTATAGAGATAATACATGTTATTCTCTTAGTGTCCACTAGAGGCATCACTGCTGTATTATAGAGATAATACATGTT